GCTCTGCCCTGAGCCCCTCCATGCCATTGTCCTAGAAGCCAGGGAGGGAGAGATTCGCTCCACGGGCTCAGCCGGGGACACGTGTGCTACCGCCAGGCCCCGGGCTCTGCCTCTGCCAGACGTCGGACCTGGGTGTCCGCGCGTTTTCACACAGACAACCGCCCGGCCTCGCCGAAGGACACGTCCCAGGAGCCTCCCCATCGCCCTCTGCATGAACTCGGAAGAGTACGCGTCTTCGGAACTCTCGTCGGGTGACCCTTGACCCTCCAGCGTCACCAGTCAGCGCTCCCAAAACGTGAGACTCGGTTTCATCCTGTGGGGAGAGAGAGGTTGAAAAAGTACTGGGATCAGAAAGAGAGTCATTGGGGCACACAGTGTCCCCACGCAGAGTGCCACACGGTCACCCCCAGAGTGACAGCGCTCCCCACGCAGAGTGCCACACGGTCACCCCGGGGTGACAGCGCTCCCCACGCAGAGTGCCACACGGTCTCCCCGGGGTGACCGTGCTCCCCATGCAGAGTGCCACATAGTCATCCCAGAGTGACAGTGCTCCCCACGCAGAGTGCCACACGGTCACCCCGGGGTGACAGCGCTCCCCAAGCAGAGTGCCACACGGTCACCCCGGGGTGACGGTGCTCCCCACGCAGAGTGCCACACGGTCACCCCGGGGTGACAACGCTCCCCACGCAAGTGCCACATGGTCACCTGGGGTGACTGGTGGTGCAGATACAGTGCGGGCAACTTAGAACCTTCAATGCAGAGTGCCACATAGTCATCCCAGAGTGACAGTGCTCCCCACGCAGAGTGCCACACGGTCACCCCGGGGTGACAGTGCTCCCCACGCAGAGTGCCACACGGTCACCCCCGGGGTGACTAGTGGTGCAGATACACTGTGGACAACTTAGAACCTTCGGCCTGTGTTCGTGCCTCAATTGAGACATAAACCGAAAGCGTGGCATGTTAACAGCTTTGGGGAGTAGAGCTCAGAACCGAGGCGTTAGTCTGCAGTGCCGACGAGGCCTGGAGGCACCCCGGAACCCGAGCCCCCGCGCCCCCGCCATCCTGGTCGAGCTTCGCGGTGCGGAGCCCACGCGTGACACGGGAAAGGACTGGAGGACGTGGCGCCGGCACCGCTCTGCTCACCTCACGTCCTGCCGGGCACACGCCACCCCTGCGGCCGTTGCAGACCCAGAGCGCCTCACCCCCGTTCCGTGTCCTGGTTTGGGCTGAAGGACAGGATTCTGTCCAAACGCATCTGAACTCCAGCTTGACACTGGGATCGTTCCTTCTCCACGCCCAGGAAGGGAGTGGGCGCAGGTCACAGCTGCAGGAGAGCTTCACGCGGGGTCTCCGCCACACTGACTTTCCAGAAGCTTCTCTCGCAGGCAGTGCGCTGGTCCTGCTTCTTACGGAGTCCTTGGCTTGCGAACAGTCACGTGTTTCTCGAAGAAACTCTTAGACCAGACCCCGTGTGGTGTCATGGTCGCCGTGCCGAGGTGGCCTCCCCATGTTCTCCATCGTCACCCATGAGGAGCTCAGCAGAGCCCAGCGCCTTTTCCAGCCACGGGCCGGCCCTCCCGTGCCAAGCCAGAAACAAAAGGCAAAGTAGGGGGCCTCCAGGGTCACGACGTCTGCCTCAGGAATACTATCGATGACGTCCTAGGAGAAGGTCTGAGCAGGCGTCCCCCGTTCTGCGTGGCCCCCGCCGGCTTCGGGACGGGGTCTTCCCGCGCGTCCGTCCACCTGCAGCTGGCGTTCCGGCTGCCTCCGCAGATGTGCCCGGCGCCCCCCTGTGCTCCCCACTTGCGGGGGGCTCACCTGGCCACGGCGAGTCGGCCACAGGTGTTCGCACATCAGCGGTGGGTGGTCGTGAGGCTCTCGAGACAACCTGGACGTGGGATTTAAATAAACGTGGGCCGCGGAGCCCATAATTGTCGGGGTTTCGGGGCTCGTCAGCAGGGAGGTTGGAGGAACTCCCCCACGATAAGCGGCCCTCGCGGTGCAGGGGGATGTCACACCACGGTTCCTTCGGCGACGAGCGGAGTGAGGGTGGAGGGCAGGGCAGGGCGGAGAATAAATTTCACTTTATCGTAGAAATGGAAATTTGTGTCATGGCACTAAAAATCTGGTTTTATGTGTGTGTTTAATGCCATTCATTTTAAATGTAGAGTCATAAATCCTGGCTTCAGAATCAAAGCTGTTTAATTACGTTTCACCCACGAATAGGAATCTAACACCAGTAGAGAAGGAGTTAAAGACCCACAGAGTAAATCGGAGGTTGAGATCTTTAGCACAAGCAGAAAAAATCAATTTAGGATGAATTTTACTACTATGAAAATTCTTCAGATACACTTCTAAGAGTGGGCGATGCTGGGAATCACAGCCTGTGTTTGCGACCCTTAGCCGCTCGGGGGCCATGGCTCCGTGTGGGCAGTGCCTCGGGCGCCCAGACGTGCCCTGTGTCACTGGGGCCGTCTGAGCTGGGAGCTGTGACCGGTGGAGCAGAGACAGCGGCTGGGGGGTCAGCAGCCCCGGCCGCGTTGGCCGCGGGTGTTGGTGATGGGGCAGCAGAGCCCACACATCTGAAGATCAGCCGCGGCCTGCAAGGCCATCCCTGACCAGCACCCCGGCCTCGTGTGGGTTCTGCAGGAGGCCCGGGGCCAAGGGGAGTCCACGCGGGGTCTTGAGGAGGTCCTCGTCCCTCTCTCGCTGCCTCAGGAAGTCCCCTGTGGGCTGAAGGCGATGGCATTGGTGCATGAGCCCTGTCACCTCCTGCTCGAGCGGGCGCCGTGTCTCGAAGCCTGCCCGCTCGCGGTGCTGGCTGACCGCGTGTCACCCGCCGTGCCGCGTTTTCCCTGCTGTCCGGAGGGAGCTCTGCCTTGCCCGCCGTGTGCCCGTGTCCTCCCCCGTGCTCTCCGTCCCCCCGGGAGCACGATGACAAAGCAGACGACGTGATTCTTGTTTTTCTTCTCGGGTACCCTCAGTCTGTTTATCCAGTAAGTGAGGAGCAGACGGGAACGGGGCCTGGGAATTTCTCCCTGACCTTGAATGACATCTAAGCCACCTGGGGACAGAAGTTCTCCCTTCTGTGTCCAGACGTCCTACTGGAGAGAAAAGTCAGGGCAGTGATTAGACGGCAGCTCCGTCCCCAGGGGTGTCTGCGAGGCCCCCTTTCCTCCTGGGCAGGGAGCTCGCATCCCGCGGGGCCTCCTGGTGCCGGGTCCCACGAGAGCCTTGTGCAGTCGAGGTCCCTGTGCCTTCCCCCTCGCAGAGGTCCAGGGCGGCCGGCCACTGGGGCGGGGCCCGGGCCCGCTCTGTCCAGTTGCTTCGTCCGCAGGATTGCCCGACTCCGGCCGGCTCTGTGGGGCCTGAGTCTCAGCTGTCCCTTGGGCGCTGGTCATCTCGGGGGCTCGTTTCCTTTCATGTTTGTCCCCTGGTTCCTTTCTCAGTGCCGTCCCTGACCCGTCTCCCTTCCACCGAGAAACCCGTAGAAGGGACTCGGCGCGTCCCAGTTCGGGACCTCGGCGGAGACCTGCGCAGCGCTGTGACAAGGGCCTCAGGCCACACAGGCACGTCTGTGAAACCCAAAAGGGCATCGGCCACTCCCCACCGCCTGTGGCACGAAGCGCGTGTCTGTGGGTCTGCAGTGTCCCGCACACGCAGGCACCGCCAGGCCGGGCTTCCTGGGCGCCCGGCCACACCCGCCATTCCCGAGCGGGTACAATGCCAAGTGACGGTGGCCTCCCCGCTTCACTGGGCCCTCATGAGGGCAGCGCGTGCGAATGGGCAGCAGCCCGTAGGGCGTGCGGGAGTGCGTGTGGGCTCGGGGACAGCTCCGTGCACCTGCTCCGTGGTGACTCCCCACCGTCCACAAGTGGGGGCCTAGGGAGCCGAAACGAGATCCATCCTAGAGCTGCAGAAGCAGCGTGTCCACAGGGCCGTTCTCGGTCCGGCGGGACAGCCCAGAAAATCAGCCTCTGCTGTCGGGGCGTCGGCCCTGGGCAGGGGTGGGGGGAGCTGCCGCATTCTGCAGCTGGAGGGTTGGCACCCCGACTGGGAGAAGCCGCGAAACTGTCGGAAGCATGTCTGAAACACGTGGGCTTGAACTTGAGGTGAAAGGGGGACCGGCAGCCGTAATGAGCAGCCAGCGGGTTCGGAAGAGAAGCAGGTAGGAGACCCAGCCCGCGGGGCCCTGATCGACCCCGGACTCGCCAACGACCTTCACGCGGTTATAGTCTCTGAAGCGGGGATCGGGAGACAGAGAGCAAACCGGGGGAAGGCCCCCCAAACGTGGCACAAAGCGGGGGGAGCCGAACGTGCAGGTCTGCGGCCCAAGTTCGGTGGGCGGCGGGAGGGTGGGGCGTGCCGTTGGGGGTGTTTCTGGAAAATGCTTCTGGCGATGGATACTTGGTGACGTCACAGGTGGAAGCAGATGCGAACGTACGTCTGTCCACGCCAGCCCTGCGGAGGGGCAGGCCCGTTGCACCCGGTCACGTCGTGCTTGTCGCCACAGCCCTGTCACGTCAGCTTTACGGCGTGACCGCGATCGCAGGGGCCCAGACGGAGAGCCGAGGGCTGGGACGCAAAATGCTTCTGGCGATGGATACTTGGTGACGTCACAGGTGGAAGCAGATGCGAACGTACGTCTGTCCACGCCAGCCCTGCGGAGGGGCAGGCCCGTTGCACCCGGTCACGTCGTGCTTGTCGCCACAGCCCTGTCACGTCAGCTTTACGGCGTGACCACGATCGCAGGGCCCCAGACGGAGAGCCGTGCGCTGGGGCTCGCCCCGCCCCTCGTTTGCCAAGCTCAAGCTAAGGGCGGAAGCGTGGGCCTCACCCCTTGGCCTCCCCCGGCGCCCCCCACCCCCCCGCTGCCGTGACGCCCGCGGCGCAGCCGAGACGCGCCTGCTCGTGAGGCGGCTGCGCGCTTGCCCGCCCCGGCGCGGCGGTGTCTCCGAGTGCGTCTCTGACCGAGTCTTGTCCTGCCCTCACCTTTGCAGCCCCCCGGAGGCCCCCGCCCCCCGCGAGCTGCTCGGCGATCCGGGGACGGTGACGGAGCCCCTCGCGCAGTGTGCAGCCTGGCTGGTCGCCTACTTCTACGAGCCCAGGACCCTGTCTGCGCTCCCCGTGCCTGCCCTCCACCACCCCATCTTCCAGCAAGGTCAGTAGCTCGGCACCTCCCCCCCCGCCCCAGGGAGCCCGGCTCCTCGGCCGTCACGGACGTCACAGCTCGCTTTACTGACGACACCAGCGCGGTGTTTTTACCTCCCCCACTCAGAGACAGGACCAGAGGCCGCGCGCGCTGCCCGACCCGCGTGGTCGTGTTGCTTCTGGCACGTGGTCACGTCCTTCTTAGCAGAGGCTGCGGCAAAGATGTGTGCACATCAGCGCCGGACTCTCGCCGGCTGAGGTTTAAGTGGGGACCTAGCCGAATGGCAGTAAAGTTTCCAATAAGCTTATTGTGAGCTTAAACCATCTGCTCGCCAACAGCACAGAACGCGAGGCTGGTGCGCGGACAGTCAGCCATGTCCGTGAACTCGGCTCGAGACACTCACCCCCGAGCAGGCGGAGGCTTTGTGCCTTCTTGAGTAGGTTTCCAGCTGAACGTCTCAAACTTCTAGTGAGACGTGGCATTCTTGCGGGATGCGTTGAGAGCTGGCTGCCGACGTGGAGAGAGCCAGGGGCGCACAGCGTCCGCGGTAACCTGGAACGTCCCCAGACGTCTCCTTGTGAGCTGCTGTGTGCGTCTTACTGACGACCGTTCTAGGCACTCGCCCGAGGTCGGTTTCACGTCGCGACCTTCCTCGTCATTTCAGTGCTGATGAGCGTGTGTGCACCGACACGTGTCTGCGGACGTGCACACGTGAACCTCAGGGAGAAAACTACCCCGAGATTCTAGGTGAGGCAAACCCAAAGCAGTCTCGATTTCGAATGGAATTTACTGTCAGGAAGTCGAACGTGTTCCAATTGCCGCTACGATTTTTCGCAAAAAAGAACTCGGAAATGGCGTGGTTTCCAGGGGGAGCTCCCGCAAGCCAGCTGAACGTGAGCAGATGAGGCACCGAGACCGCACAGCCGTGACGAGCAGGCCGGCCTGTCGGCCCCGTCCCCCGGGCCCACCTGCAGACGGTCTCCCGGGGGGACCTCCAGTGCTTCTGAGGGGGGCTCCGCGATGGGGTGTGCAGCATGCCACGTGTCCAGCCCCTCCATCGTCGAGGTGACGCCCTCCGGGGACGAGGTGGTGCCACGGCCGCTGGTCAGCCCCGCCCGGCCTGCTCCGGGGCCCTCCTCCCTGCACCTTGCGTCCCAGACCCAGTGGAGGGTGCGGTGGCCGTCCCCGTGCATGCCGCCCATGTGCCGGGTGGGACCTAGGACCCGTGGCTCCTCTGCCGCTGCGGCCATCCGGGATTCCTGCTCCGCCGCCGGGGGCCTGGGGGAGCTGTCCCACCACTGCCCTCCCCTGAAAGTCCGTCGAATAAGCGAGCGGAAATTCGAGGCTGTGACGTTTTAAGAACAGAAAAATGACAAAAGCAGGGCAGGAAGTGTCTGTGTCACCGGCGGGGTGGGGGAAGGGTCGGTTTATAAACTCCTGGGGTCCCATCCTCTGCCCGTCCCCCCGGCCAGCCGGCCGTGGCCGTGGTAGGTCCGGCGGCCGGGCGCTGGGTGAGGAGGGAGGCCGTGCAGTCGCCCGGCAGCCCGTCTACGGGACGAGCCGAGCAGCACTGGCGGGCACCTCCGCGGGGGCCGAGGTCGCTCCAGCGGGTCGGGGGCGGGCGGCGCCCTCCCGCCGACACTCAGCTGCAGGGCCAGAATTTCCCACGCTGCCGCCTCTAATTTGGCTCCGTCGCTCTCTCTCTGACCAGGGCCAGGTGTGGGTTTTATGGTCACGAAAGGAGGTGGCGGGCGGCTGTAACACAGTGGCCAGCACGGACTTAATTGGCCCCAGCCCCAGGTGTGGCGACACCCCCTTTCTGTCCCACGGCGGTGGGCTCTGCTCGCTCTCTGCTCTGCGTCCGGGAGCCAGTGGCATCGTGGGGACGCGGAGGTCTCCGGTCAGCTCAGCTCAGGAAGCCGTGGGTCCACACGGGAGACGGGCCTTCTGCGAAGCCTGGAGCCAAGTCCCTCGCAGACGCCCCTTTCTGTTCCGCGTCTGGCGAGCATCTTCTCGTCACGCTCTGGCTTTGAGCATGGCCGGGTCCCCCGATCTCAACGTGCTGAGGAAGAGCCGCGGCCAGTGAGCTCCCCGCCGCGGCCCGGC